ATTATCAATTTCATAGCAAGAAAACACAAAGGATTATAGAAAAAGCATGGTACAACACATGCAAAAAACCCCCAAAGTCTGAAAGTTTTGATTAAAAGCTCACAAAGAAAGAAACTGTACCAGTGTTAAAAAAAAAAAAAAACTACATATACACCAATATATGTATACATACTATATATGTATATAGAATATGTAACATATATGTGTGTGTTTACACACACGACACACACACACACACACACACACACAGTTTGTTTTTTTGTCACTGGTACGGAGGTCAAGATCGACACCCACCCTGCAGGCTAATTAACTATGGCAACAGATGTGCTGAGAGTGGTTATCATTTTGGAGGCATTATGAATATACTGTAAGAAAATCAAATGTTCTCTATTAATAACAAAGTTCCAGTGAACCACATATCAAGGCCAAGAACATCTGTACAAGGCTTATAATATAACATAACAAGGCCAAGGACATCTGTACAAGATTTATTTCATTAACCACAATGTTTCAGAGTGATAGCACACACCCCAATACAGAAGGAGCGATTCAAAATCCACCAAGAGTTAAAGGTCAAGAGCCAAAGTCAGTGGCTTTGTATCCCAGGTCAATAAGAGTGTCATCCACCATTTTGTTTTTCTTGGATTAATAAAAGAATTGATGTACAGAACACCCTGTTCTGAGCTCACCATGACTTCTGACAAACATGCGCCACCAGGGACTAGACTTCATTGCCTCATCCTTGCTCTGGCTGTGCTGGTGGGTGGCAAAAGCCTCTTGCCAGTACTTGACCTCCAAATTATTCATATGGATTCCTGTTTCTAGCCATAGCTCCCTGTAACTTCACATTTGAATAATTTCTCCTGAAGTGCATGGCTGTGATGTTGACAAACAGGACTAATGAGAGCAAGTAAATTGCCATCTGTTTAACAAAACACACCCTTCTAAGAGATTATCCACAGTCTTATAGCATTTGGTACACAGTCACAACATTGAAATGACATGTGAGAATCAATACAAAATATTTATTTTTTTCCAAACCATAGAATTCTTAATCCCAGAGTCACACTATAAATTTCCCAGAATTGTAAGCCATTAACATTTTTCTGAACAATGCAGTCCAACCAGAAATGAAGATAATTGTCAACCAGCAGGGGTCCACTACATTCTGGGTTCCCGTAAGAATAGGTCTCCATTAGCATTTTCTTTAATTCTCCCACAGCCACTCCATCAAGATAAGCAGAAATAGTGTATGTAACTCACTCCACTGGGCTCTGAAGAGAGAGGTTCAAAATAGAATCTTGGCCAGCGGAGGAGGGAAGGTGTCAGTGATAACTTCAGTTAATCAACCACAGAGACGGAAGAGTAATCATTTCACTTGGAAAAGAACAGGGCTCCTTTCATATATTCTGATGGCCAGAAACTAGGGTGAATTTCAACACGGTAATGAAAATAACAGGAGAGCAATTTCTCTATGAACTCCTACGACCTCCATTTTAACTTCTGATAAAAGTGAACTTCATCTTACACAGTCTTACTGAAAACAGTAATCACAACCAAAAAGGTCCTATAAACCTCTTACAGGTGTCAAAGGACTGACATTCTGACCTTTAATTTTTAGGTCCCCTTAAGAGGCCTAGACTTGGATTAAAGTAAACATAATATTCCAAGCTAAAAAGCCCAGTGAGACACCATAAAAAATCAACTCAAAACATCCAAACAATGACTGAATAGCTACTGTAGGTTTTTTGTTTTGCTTTTTAGTTGTAAAGCTTTTCAATATCTCAGATTAGTGTATATTCATAAAACAATGCTCAGTTATTTTAGTAATAGCTGCTTATTAAACAATTGAATTTTAGCTCAAGGATGATGCCTTTTGCATAATAATCACAAAAATAATTAACTGCTATAAATCAGAAAAAAATAGAAGAAAATACAGCCACCCTCAATAATAAGCCAAAATCTGGAAGGGTTACTCTGTTTAAAGGGCGATTAAGTAGGATTATTTAAATACTATGATACAAGTGTGCCTGCTCACTTTGTAACTGCAGAAACCAATTTTGTTTGCTAGATCACCATTACCTTTGCTAGTACATGTACGGACCACCACTTAGAAGTTATATTTTTGTTCTGAAAAACGTTCAAATCCCTTGTTCAGTCAGTACAGAATATTGCGAGGTGATGCACGTGCAAACTTCCTGAGGAATTATTCATGTGTGCAAACTTGCAACCCAACAGAAAGCATGGCCTACAGCAAGGGAGTGGCAGCTGTACAAGTCTGAGCATCCACTCTTCTGCAGTCTCATCTACCCACAAATTAGCCTACATCCTAGACCTCAAGGAAAGTGACAGTAACTGCTGCAAACTTACAAAAGGGGCGGGAAAAAAGGTAATATTTCTACAAAATTTAACAATGCACAACTCGTGCATCCAGGTTTGTGTTTCTTCTTATAAGAACTATATTAGGCTAACAGTCACAATACCAGGTTTTGCTTTCTGCCCCATAGAAAACAAAACAGTAATTCCTGTCGGGTTAGGGTACAGCTGTGATAACAAAGATCATGAAATTGACACTGTTACTGAAGCTTACGGCCTACCTTTAAAATATGTACCATCTCTCAAAACAATTACGATCTATACTTTCCCATGTTATTATTTCAAGATGACTGACCTGGCTTTCTTTTTAGTTTCAGGCTGCAAAGACATACTCATCGTTTAGCCAAATCAATTGCACGTGTTGAGTAACCCGACAATGAATCTATGTGTATAATTTTCTGTCTTCAATGATTTGGGCCTTCAATGATTTGGTACAAAAGCCAGGATTTCACTGGGGCAGAAAAACTGTATACTGTACTGGCAAGAAGAATACAAGAAAACATAAGAAGAAAATACTTTCTGGCAAATAGCGTTTAGTCAATACAAGATGGTGGGAGAAGGAGCGGAAAATTTTATTTCCTCTCATGCTGCAAACTAAGAATTGTGTCAAGAATCCCAATAAATAAGCAAAGTCAATTTCAGCTTAAATGAAATAGGTTCTTCATATTGCAATGTACCTCAGGGGGTCAAGACGAGTAACGAGCAGGACACATGCACTGGGACAATGTGTACACCTTTCCAGAGAGCCTTCCAACCATGCCTCTGTAGTACCGAGCCCTGACCCATAGCTGGCTGCAGTCACTGTGCAAAAATTTAGAGAAATTAAATTTTGCAAACTTTACTTCACCTTTTGTTAATACATATACAATAATTAAAAGAATATAAAATATTTCTCTATTAACTTAATAACGCAAAAGCATCCAAAGATTTTAATGCTAATTCACATCATAATGCAATGCTTCTGTAGGGAAAGTTCTTCTGTTTTTGGCCAAAAAAGAATGCTCTCTCCCACAAAAAGCACTTGGGTATATTATTAGGATCCTGAAGAATTCATCCACATTTAAAGAAATGTTCCAATTTTACTCCTTGCAGAATTATTATTAAAACCACTCAAGAGAGACTTCCATTCCAGGTGTTATTTATAAACCTGCAGCAAGCATTCCATTGAGAAAAGTAAAATGTGATCATCATGATAAAATGGAATTCTTCTGTGATACTAGAAGGTTACTGGTGTAGCAATCAAACTGTACAGGTCATCGTGACAGCCTGTATAAATTCTTACGGTAATTCAGTGTTCATCAATACAATCAAAGATGTTTACAGAGTTAAATGAGCCCAGTTGAAGTCCTCCACAAAATCTAGCAACTCTGGTTGATGAGTACTTACAAAAAATAAATCTGACAACCTTTACTTTTACTTCTCTGCATAATAATTTTACAAATCAAGGACTTCTACTATTAGATGACCGACTTGCTCCCAATATCCCACTTCTAACTCTCCCACCCACCCCACACCCCCAAAATGACAAACTGGACTCATACAGAGGCAGCTGCATGAAAGACCTGCAAATGACAAGTGCGACAGTGTCCCTGGTATATCTTTTTTCCCCTCAAGTTCTCTGAAGAGGTAAATACTACTAGTCTGACATAGCCCAACAGAGTGAAGTCTATGCTCAATTTAGATTTAAGCAAAATGAGAAGAAAAAGTATTTTTCCCTTGCCCCATGTTTTCTACTTTTGTCTTTCAAAAACAGCTAGAATAAGCTTCAGAGACTTTGAAGAAGAACTAAACAGCAGTGTGGGTGGGGAGAAACAAAACATAGCTTTGCCGCAGCTGGAAGGGAGTCTTAAAACAGCAGTGTCACTTCTTCTCTATTACACTCAAATATAATGTTTAAAAGATGCAGACTGCAGACTTTTTAAAAGTAGTTATTTCACTCGTTTAAAATGAAATGGAACTGAAACCCCATATCATTGATTATATTTGGATTTAATAACTGTATCTGCTTCCTAGAGCATCACAGGAAGCAGCCTCTCAACAACGTTCAAAGGGGAGCTTTAGTGCTAGAGTACTGCCCACCCCTAGGGTACTGCCAATCCTACAGCAGCTGGTGAAATCATGTGAAGTGACAGAGAAAATAGAAATGCTCTACAAGAGTTGGTCCCCAACATTAATATGAACACGCTCTGGCGAAGCAGGGGCAAATCTGACCAATGTGCAACAGGTTTCTATTTTCCCGCTTAATCAGCATCCTGGTACAAAGTCACACCTGCCGTCTTTGTGGGTTAGGTTGGGATACCATAAACTTCTCCAGGAGGCATTTGTGAGTTTGACAACATGGTTACACAGTTGCAAAGTGCACAAAGCTCAAGGCACAGAGTAGAAAAAAGTTGTGAACTGATAGGGGATAACATTCTAGCAAAAGCAGAGTTAGCATTTTCCTTTAACAAGACTTTCTAATGCTAAACAAAGACCAACTCTTTTAAAGGGGGTCGTTTTGATTATGGGTGAAAAATACTGTATTGTAATGATCTGCTTGGTTTTAAAGCAAAAGATATCTTGACATGTGAAACCAATATGTCGAAGTGCCAAGTCCACAAATGAACAAAACAAGTGCTTCCAAAAAAAAAAAAAGGTTCTTCTGCTTTTATATTTTTGGAGGAAGCTGCTGATTTTGGCTGTTGAATTTCACTTAGCAATGGTCACTTTCCAAGATGCTTGTTCGTCACAGAATCTATACATAAACTCATTAAAAGATTGTCCCATTTCAAAATCACCCCCAAGTCTAGCAGCAACTGTTTTTATGTTTTTTTTTTTTTGTTAGTTTTTTGTTTTTTAAAATTACAAACCAAAGTAAGAAGTCCAACATCCTCCTCCAAGAACAGCTTTGTGACAGAGCTCCTGAGTGTCTGCAGCCCCCGCTGTGCTCTGAATACAGTCTCTGCAGCTCCAGTGTGTCCTCTTTTCAGAAAGGAAAGTACTTTCACTACATTCACTATCTGTACCCTCTGGAACTTGCACATGCTGATGAGCTGTCTGAAAACACATCAGGAAAGGAAATAGTATGAACTGCAGACAGCATCTGATAATGGCAGAAATCAGTTTATTCAACACACTTTTCTCACCCCTTCCCCAGTCCCTTAAAACCATGTGGCTTGGAGGGCAGTGCAAGGGGGCCGAGATCATCATTATCTCATCGTAACACAGACTAAAGAATCTGGTGGCCTCTTCACAACTGCCTGAGAGAACCCCACCACCAACTGGCCTTCAGAGCTGCCACAGCTTGCAGAACAGCCTGACCTTGATCACGCATCATGCCTTAAGAGAACACCATCAAGAACACCATGGATATGATCCCATTCACTACACAGTTATCACCACTGGCTGCCTTACACCACAAAACTATCAAAATGGGAAGGAACATCGTTACTTACTGTAAGCCAACTCGTCCCCAGCTCTCTTCCGGGACTGGTCACCTCTAGGGATAAGAAAAGAAGACGCAGTCAACAACTGACTTTACACACCAAAACAGGAGAAACGAATTGACATATTTGATAAAGGAAATATAGCAGATATTGCAGTTCTAACCCAACAACATATTGTATAATAGACGTTAAACTTAAAACGTAAACTGAGTCATTTATAACCTGAATACTCTTAGCTAAAGAGAGCTGTCTTTTTAATATAGGAAGCTATTAAATGAAGGATCATCTATAAAGATGGTTTACACCGAGTTCTAGAAATGGGTTCAGACCAAAATACATCTTTGAAGATAAACCTGGGTTCTGCTGTCAACATCCTTACCTGCACATATTAAGGTAAATTTCAAATACAAAACAGAGAGGGCAACTAAAAATCTTCCCCTAAAATCCCTATTTTGAAACCAAAAACTGCTTAAAGCCTTTGAAAAAAATCTCACAATCTTAATGTATCTTAATACCCTTTTTGCAGGTGGAAGAACTTGAACCTTTACGTATATTAACCAGTTCATCCTCAAATACACATATGAGAAGTTCCAGTTCCACTTTAGAGTTAAGACAATAGAAGTTCTGAGTAGGTCCTATGCTGCCTATCAATTCCATTTTTGTCTTTCCAGCTTCTCAGACAATAATCCAGACAAATGACTAAAATGCGTACGTAGTGAGTAATACTGACCAACTCACTAGCTTTTTCCTCAGTCTCTTAGCAGAATTTTTACAGTTGACCTCTTCCTTCCTGAAACATTTTTTCCTTTAGGCTTCACACTCCCGACCTTCCTTCCACCCTCCCTTTCTAGTCTCCTCTGTTGGATCTGCCCCACAGTCTGTCCTTGGCCATCTTTTCTTCTCCATGGACATTCTTCTTAGTCTAGGATGGTGATCATAAAAGCCCCATCATGGTTTCAACACTTTCCACATGCCAGAGTCTCCCAGATTTCTGTACCCAGCTCTGATTTGCTCCCTACACTCCAGATTTGTAGGTCCCACTGCCTCGTCACCATGTCCCCAGATGACTAGATATACTGCCAGTTTACCACAGCCAGAATATGATGCTGGCTCCGCCCCATCCCCACTCCTTCCTCCGTCTTCCATCTCGATGAACAGCACCCCCATCCATCCAACCACTTGGGCCAAAGTCCCCTGTCATCCTTGATTCCCCCCTTCCCCTCGCTCTGGAGCATTCTAACCTAAAACTATCCAAAATCAACCACTCCTCACCAACTTCACTGCTACAATCCCAATCCAAGCCACTATCATCGCTTCTCTACACAACTGCACGAGCCTTATTGTTAGTCCGGACAAAAGCCAGAGTGATCTGACATAAAGGCATAAATAAGATTAGTTCACGCCTCTGATGAAAGCCCTTCAGTGGCTTCCCATTACAGTTAAAAATCAGTTCCAATCCATTTTCCCAGCCCTGTGACATGGCTCCTGCCTACCTCTCCAACCTCGTCTTCCATCTCTGCTCACTTCGCTTCAGCCAGCCGGGCTCTCCGTCCCTAGGACATGTCGGCACGCTTGTACTCACTGTCGTCTCTGCCTACAACACTCTCCCCACCCCAGGCAGTGGCACACCGTCTCCCCACCGGCTACGCGCTGGCTGGACTGTCGCCTCCTCAGTAGGCATTACCTTATACGCCGGCTGGAATAGCCCCCACACGTGCCCATCACTCACTATCGCATTCTGTTTCATTTTCTTCATAGTACTTATTATTACTTGAAATTATTTTTTACGTGTAATTATTTGTCTCCCAACATTAGAGCATAAGTTCCACGAAAACAGGAACTTTGCCTGTCTTGTTCAACCCAGTACCTAGAGCACTGTCTAGCACATAGAAGACACAATAAATATTTGCTGAATTAACAAATCAGTGAATAATTCATAAATAGTACCACAGATAGATTAAAATGCTATCCCAGATCATTAGTTCCTGCTTTTGAATAATCTCCCAGACAACCAAAGTTCCCCCACTTTCTTTCTCTGGTTATGTTTAGGACCAGGGCAGAAATCTCTTGCTAGGCTGGGTGAAGAGCCTTATGACTGGCAGAAAGAGGACACATCACGTGACCTCTGAAAGGTTTTTCTCCAGGCACAACATTGAGCATGAACTAGCCTTTAGCAGACTAAAGAGCTCTAAACAGATGGGCCCTGATGCCACTTTTTAAATACCTCTATTGTTAACGCTGCACCTAGCCAAAGCCAATTGAGTGTCTTACATTGTTATAATATTTATGCTAGTATCATCACAGTAGCAATCACCAAATATTCTGAAACGAATAAGTTAATGATCAAAAGAGAAGAGAATTTTATATCTGCAACCTCAACTTTTAGACACAACCTTCATTACCACCCCTCTCAGGTTAAATAAAAAGTGAACATGCAAACGTAACAGGAGAAAAATGCAGATGTGAAAACAACAGGAGGCAGGAAGAAAGAATATAAATGTGATGTACAAAAGTGCTGCCAAAGATGTTATCCAATTCCAGAAGTCTGGAAAGCTATCTCAAAACTAGACCCATTACTATATGAAAAGGCCCAAATTTTGGGGTGACCTTCTCAGCTAAAAGACATGGGTTCTTCTTACCTAGGTCACTTAGATCTAGTGATCATCTTCCACAGTGATCTTCGACGACAGACACCAGCCCCTCCCCAATCAATTCAATTATGTCTTGAGAGATAAACAGAAAATACTGCTTTTATATGTTAATTCTAGCTTTGAAATAGGTCTACCCTATATTTCCATGCACCTACACATTATGTTTCACAAAAATTCCAGCTCAAAGGAGAATCTGTCCATTAACTGCCAAAGAGGATAAATTTGACAACATTCACATATTATTTCAAAGACTTACTCTGCACCCTCCACATTAAAGCTGTGTGCTACCCATTTAGGACCCCCACATCATAAGTAGAACATCATCTTACATGAAAAAGTAGTTTACAAGACCAGACAGGATCATGGGCTGGTTAGGCATAAACCATAAAATGACTACTCATATCAGAATAGCGAGTAACAGAATTCTTATTAGACAGCCTACACTATATGCTCAAATTTTTTTGCCTCACTGGACACCACTTCTTCCAAAATAATCCCAGCCAAACAACGATCAAAGAAGACATTAATGTGGAAGATCCATGCAAAAGAGCAGAGACAGCCTTTCCATCAGCTACTAAATGTGGCGTGTGCATGTCCTTTCTGGCCAGTAGGAGTAAGCTCAGAAGCAGGTATGAGAAGGTCAGCTTTGGCAGGGCCTACTCTGTGCAAAGTACCTGTCAGAATAATTTATGAGGCAGAGTTTAATC